AAGAGACAGCCTCTAGGAGTGGCAAGAAGGGAGGGGGGAGTCCTCTATACGAGTTGCAAGGAGGGAGAAGGGGATCCTCTAGGAGTTGTAAGGAAGGGAGGAAGAGGTCATCTAGGAGTTGCAAGGAAGGAAGTAAAAGTCCTCTATGAGCTGAAGGGAGGTATGGGAAGGGGTGCTCTAGGAATTTCAAGAAGAGAGTTGCAGGGTGGGAGGAAGGGGGTTCCTCTAGGAGCTGCGAGGATAGAGGAAGAGGTCCTATGGGAGTTGCAAGGAGGGAAGAAAGGGTCCTCTAGGAGATGCAAAGAGGGAGGAGTAAGTCCTCTGTGAGTTGTAAGGAGGAATGAAGAGGTTGCCGAACATTGAGGCCAGAGTGTGTCAGAGCAGAGAAGGTCTAACTGGAAGCAACTCAAGGAAGCAACATTAATATACAGAAACATTTCTGATTATCTTAGACTTCGATTGATAACAATTGAAAAAGAGAGTGCTGAAGACCGACCCCAAAATTAGTAAAATTACAGGACAGTGACCCAACCCTCACAAGTGGTCAATGTTTTGTAAGGCTTAATCGTGGCAAAAATCATCGTCTGCCAAATGAATGAGGCAGAATGTGAAAATAAATTAAACAATAAAGTTCACGGTGTCTGTCATTTTTGCTGAGGCAGCATCACTGCAACGGTGTTTTGCTATGTAAATGAGAAGCGGACGTCGATGCGAAGTAGTTACTTGAAATTTTCGAAAGCGTTCGAATAATTTTATCATCATCGAAGTTGATCATGAGTGGGATCTGGCTAACTGGAAATTGAAGCTGCAAGGCGTCGGAGGGAGAGTTATGTGCATGGTCGTTGGTCGGCCAAAAAATTTCAGTCAGACAGCATAAATTGCTGTTTCAATGCCCAAAATCAAACGAGACCTGAGTGAAGAGAGGTACGGACTAGGGCTTGGTGCTTGGACCGATCCCCTCTCTCGTCAATAACTGAGATTCTATCCACAACATAAGTGAGCTCCGTATTGCATTGCCTTTTGTGGACGACACAAATAAGTTGATGAATAAAACGGACAGTCAAAACAGCAAGAGGCTCGATTGAGATATATGGCAGGGCCACGTTTACAACCTGCAAAACAACAGCATCAAGGTTGAAGTATGGTATTGTCTCTGAACAATAAGGGTTGAAACTCCGCTGCCTGCCATAAGAGGAAGAAGCGCTGAAATTGAAGGGTAGCACCGACATTTAGAGGAAGCAGCAAAGGTCAAATGCTCCGAAGTTCAGGAAAAACACCAAAATTGAGAATCGCCGAAATTCAGGAGGAACACCTCGTTCGTGATTTTGAACTTCATAACAACAGCGGTTGCAAGAGGCAGACAACGGATGGCTGGATCAGGTCGACATGTCGAACAAGAGGATCAGCGCTGCTGGGTACTCTTCGGAGCTGTTAAGCTCTTACTTCTGGGGTGGTCCTATGAAAAATAGTTAATTAAGAGTTTGTAATTCCAATCACTGACGGGTTTTCGAGCTAAACCCACCAATCACAGGAAGAATCTGTGGTTTGTTTTGACAGTACGGCGCATGGAGAAAATTCTTACGTCACAAGCCGAGGCTAGCGACAACACCTCGAAGAGAAGGGAGAGGAATGGAGGAAGTAGGGACAAGATTAGGAAAAGGAGTTGAATAAGATTTGGGAGAGGTATGTCTTTCTGTACACGTCGGAGATGGTGAGCAATCCCTGGCTCCGAACTTTGAAAAATAAATTCCATTCAGAAGGATAGTAAAAGGATAGTATCCATTCATGATAGCATCCATTCAAGATAGTAACCATTCAAGATAGTAAGCTAGCTACTAAAGTGACAGGATGGGACACGGTGATGGATGAATCAGCTGCGGTCTGGGATCAGTGTCCTAGGGAGGGATCCCTTTCTATGATGAAACCGTAGGTAGTGCTTATGTCGCTGTTCTGCAGGGAAGATATTCCCTAATGCTTGATATAATTTTAATGCAGTAATTCCTCTAATTTGGCGTACCATGGCGACGGAGTTACCTCCAACACTTGGTTGCTCTCAACACGTTTCAGGCAAATGACCTGCTAAACGGACAGGACATCGGGACGCTGCACGCGATGGACATCGTGCCGCTGGACATCGGGACGCTGCACGTGATGGACATCGTGCCGCTGGACATCGGGACGCTGCATGTGGACATCGTGCCGCTGGACATCGGGCCACTGCACGTAATGGACATCGTGCCGCTGGACATCGGGCCACTGCACGCGATGGACATCGTTCCGCTGGACATCGGGCCACTGCATGTGATAGACATCGGGCCGCTGGTCATCGGGCCACTGCATGTGATGGACATCGTTCCGCTGGACATCGGGCCACTGCATGTGAAGGACATCGTGCCGCTGGACATCGGGCCACTGCACGTGATGGACATCGTTCCGCTGGACATCGGGCCACTGCACGTGATGGACATCGGGCCGCTGGACATCGGGCCACTGCCAGAGCCCGGACCGGGCATGTAGCCGCTGCCCGAGCACGAACCGGACATAAAACCCATGGCCGGGCCGGACTCGGGCCGCTGCTCTAATGAAACGCAAACAAGCGCTCCCCATAACTCCCTCCCGCTCTGGGGGGAGGAGGGGCAGGAGGGGGAGGATCGCTCCCCATTGGCCACGATACTTGACCTCAGGCCAACCCCAACCCAATTATTCCCCAAATTATTCCCCCCAAAAAACGGCCAATCAAATTGCTGCACAAAACCCGAAATCTCATTTCTCCCCACAAACATCATGGCTAATTACAACCCCCAAACCCTTCTCCCCAATAAACCCCAACCCATATACAGTGGGGGGAAATAAATATTCGTACACTTGAAAAATCGGATTTTAATGTATGTAAGTACACAAACTTAACAGGAAAAGTGATTTAAATTATGTATAGAGACGCATAGTATTCAAAAATACTATCAAAAGAAATTAAATCTCAATGCAACAAAAAACAATGCAACATGTTCACTTTTCGGGGTGAAAAAAGTATTCGTACAAAACAATAAATCCGCATTATTTTAATTTAATACTTGGTTGAATACCCTTTATTCCTGTCTCTTATACACATCTAGATGTGTATAAGAGACAGCCCTAACCCCATCCCTTACCGCGTAGTACCGGTAACATAAACCCCAAACATCGAAACAACCCCCCAACCCCACAACAACCCCAACCCCACAACAACCCCAATCCCACAACAACCCCAACCCCACAACAACCCCAACCCAACAACAACCCCAACCCCAAAACCCCACCCCCAAACCCCATCCCTTACCGCGTCACATAAACCCCAACCCCACAACCCCACCCCCCAGCAACCCCCAAATTGGGGTTGTTGTATGACTTGGGGTTGTTGGGGGACCCAACACCCCCAATTGTATGAATTGGGGTTGTTGTATGAACCCCCGTTTTGGGGTTGTTTTGTAAATTCACCGCACGGAGAGCTACGCAACTGCCGGAGCGATCCGTTGCATGTGAAACTGCTGAGTCATGCCTGTCTGTAGACGGGTGAACCCTGCCCGTCTGGGAGACAAGGGCGGGTGCACACAGCCCGTCTGGGTGACAGTGACGGGTGCACACAGCCCGTCTGGGGGACAGGGACGGGTGAACCCTGCTCGTATGGGGGGACAGGGACGGGTGCACACAGACTGTCTTTAGACAGGGACGGGTGAACCCTGCCCGTCTGGGGGACAGGGACGCGTGCACACAGCCCGTCTGGGTGACAGGGACGGGAGCACACAGCCCGTCTGGGGGACAGGGACAGGTGCACACAGCCCGTCTGGGGGACAGGGACGGGTGCACACAGCCCGTCTGGGGGACAGGGACGGGTGCACATCCACCACCATCACCACCATCACCACCACGAGTGTTATCAGGAGTGACGTAACGAAGCTAATATTAGACATGAGGGAAGCTTGGGAGTGGAGGGAGTGGGGAGTGTGGAGGGGAGTGAGGGACATGGGGGGAGGGGGAACATGTGGGGAGTGGGGGCAGATGAGTAAACCGGATCCCATGATGCGTAACTGCCTCATGACTCTTGACTTTATCACTCATGATTCATCAAAGACCGTCCCGTGACATCTGAGTCCGTCCTGTGACATCAAAGACCGTCCCGTGACATCAAAGACCGTCCCGTGACATCAAAGTCCGTCCCGTGACATCAAAGTCCGTCCCGTGAAATCAAAGTCCGTCCCGCGACATCAAAGACCGTCCCGTGACATCAAAGACCGTCCTGTGACATCAAAGACCGTCCCGTGACATCAAAGACCGTCCCGTGACATCAAAGTCCAACCCGTGACATCAAAGACCGTCCCGTGACATGAAAGACCGTCCTGTGACATCAAAGACCGTCCCGTGACATCAAAGACCGTCCCGTGCCATCAAAGTCCGTCCCGTGACATCAAAGACCGTCCCGTGCCATCAAAGTCCGTCCCGTGACATCAAAGACCGTCCCGTGACATGAAAGACCGTCCTGTGGCATCAAAGACCGTCCCGTGACATCAAAGACAGTCCCGTGACATCAAAGTCCGTCCCGTGACATCAAAGTCCGTCCCGTGACATCAAAGTCCGTCCCGTGACATCAAAGTCCGTCCCGTGAAATCATATTTTATTCGTTAAAATCAAAAACGAAATAACGTAAGAATCTGTAACATCGCCCCCCCCCCCGGAATGCATTTCGGATAATTATTACCGTGTTCACACTGGTGCTTAAAAATCGCTGGTTGGTAATAAGCGTTACCACCGCACGATACTAAGTAATAGCGGTGTGATTAATGAGTAACACGTACAATTAATTAATTGGACGTCGTACAATTAAACGTTATTCATACAGCATCACAGCAACCATCATCACAGCAACCAACATCACAGCATCACAGCAACCATCATCACAGCATCACAGCAACCATCATCACAGCATCACATCAACCTTCATCGCAGCATCACAGCAACCATCATCACTGCATCACAGCAACCATCATCACAGCAACCATCATCACAGCATCACAGCAACCTTCATCGCAGCATCACAGCAACCTTCATCGCAGCGTCACAGCAACCATCATCACAGCATCACAGCAACCATCACCACAGCATCACAGCAACCATCATCACAACATCACAGCAACCACCATCACAACATCACAGCAACCATCATCACAACATCACAGCAACCACCATCACAACATCACAGCAACCATCATCACAGCATCACAGCAACCATCATCGTCTACCAAAACAACGATTAAAAATGAACATTATTGGAATATTTAACATCATAATCACATCAATAAATGATTATCATCATTCATCACATTTACAGTACTCATGATGAACCCAGGGTCACAGAGTACACGGCGCGCACGTCGGCAACACCGACCCGTCAAGGCCAGCGCGCGATGGCAACACCGTCACTACATTCCTACGGCGCACGTACGACGACGTCCCATGGTTCATTCATGGAACAAGGGGGGAGGGGGAGAGTGGAGTGAGGGGTGGGTGGGCAAGTGGTAAAGGATTAAAATATAAAATAGGGGGGGGGCATGGGGCATGGGGAATGGGCAAGTAGTACAGGAGTAAAATAAATATGGGGGACAAGTGGCATGGGCGGGGGAGGGGGAGGTTTGGTAGGCAAGTGGTACAAGATTAAAATACAGGGGGAAAAGTGGCAAGGGGAAAGGGGGGGGAGGTAAGTAGCACAACTTTCCATAAATATCCATAGCATTAGAGGCCAGCATTGCCCCATACCATTACCACTTTCATATCCCTTCCCGAGCTACTGAGTAAAGTAAACTATGAAGTTAAGTGTTCAGAGTAAAGTGTTAAGTCCGTAGCCATGCACTGTTCCAGCCAGTATAATATTCATTGAGGCTACACCTCATAATATGGCCTACCTCAAAATATTGCCTACCTCAAAATATGGTCTCCCTCAAAATATGGCCTACCTCACAATATGGCCTACCTCAAAGTGTGCCCTACCTCATAATTTGGCCTACCTCCAAATACGGCTACCTCAAAATATGACCTAGGTACCTCAAAATATGACCTACCTCAAAATATGACCTACCTCAAAATATGACCTAGGTACCTCAAAATATGGACTGCCTCAAAATATGGCCTACCTCAAAATATGACCTACCTCAAAATATGACCTACCTCAAAATATGGACTGCCTCAACATGAACACCTCAACATGAAGCCACAGACAAAATATGGTCTACCTAAAAATATGGTCTGCCTCAAAATATGACCTACCTCCACACTTACCCCGACTCCACCAGTACAAACCTTTCCGGACCTTGCCTAACCTCATATTGGCTACAGCAAGGCGGAAGAAGTGGGGCAAGTGGGGTGTTGGAGTCGGTGATTGGCTGCAGCGAGGTGGAACAAGTGGGGTGTTGGAGTCGGTGATTGGCTGCAGCCAGGTGGAAGAAGCGAGAGAAGTGGGGTGCTGGAGTCGGTGATTGGCTGCAGCAAGATGGAAGAAGTGGGGCAAGTGGGGTGTTGGAGTCGGTGATTGGCTGCAGCAAGATGGAAGAAGTGGGGCAAGTGGGGTGCTGGAGTCGGTGATTGGCTGCAGCAAGATGGAAGAAGTGGGGCAAGTGGGGTGTTGGAGTCGGTGATTGGCTGCAGCAAGATGGAAGAAGTGGGGCAAGTGGGGTGTTGGAGTCGGTGATTGGCTGCAGCCAGGTGGAAGAAGCGAGAGAAGTGGGGTGTTGGAGTCGGTGATTGTATGCAAGGTGGGGAGACGGGGTGACTGTAGAGGTAGTGCAATGTTGGGGGTTTAGCCTCAGTGAGACTAGACTTGCTGGAGCAGAGGCTGCGGACATACGGCGCTGTGGGTTTCAGCTGTTGCGGATCTGAGTCTATACTTAAAAAAAAATCGTAAGTTCATCAGCCTATCATTGACGGCCTTTCGAGCAAAATCCACCAATCATAAACAAGAAAATGGAGCGTAAGTACTTACGTCTACTTAGCGAGTTTTGAAATTATGGCCCCTGTTGTGGCGTGCGGTGTTTATATCAGTTAGTGTGCGATAAGTCAAGCTAAACGTAGCTGTGTATGTTTGTGCTTAGTCTTGATTACAGGGTTAGTTTAGGAGTTAAATTTGTGGCCAACGGCTACGCACTGCATAACACATATGGTCATGACACTTTGGTCACACCATAAAAGTCCATAACACCTATGGATGCAAAATTTATGGCCGCACCACATATGGTCATACGACGTACCGGTATGTCCATAACACAGCTGTCAATAACACATATTTATGGCAAACAGACATATGGCCAAAAAACATGGACAAAACACAAATGGCCAACACACGCATGGCTAAAACTCATATGGCCATAACCCGTTTATGGAAAAAATAATGAAGGCTTATCTTAAAACAAGTCGCTTTCTTTGCAGGAAAAAACTGCTTTTCAGGGCTCGAACCCGCAACTTGCAGCTCAAAATTCCAAGCCACGTACAGTATC